CTCTATAAATTCGGTACACAAGTATATAAATTATAAAATGCAATTAAGAAAAAAAAGACATACGGAGTTCATAAAATAGACGAACACTCGAACAGTATTACATACACATAATAGTTGAAGTACAATATGTCACTACTTTTTCTTGTTAGGCTTGCGCCTTCTAATAGCCATGAAAGTGTTAATGATCTCTTCTTCACTCAATTGTAAGAAGATATCCCGCTCAATAAAAGTCATTAGACAATCATCCTCTTAATGAAAAATGTGCTATGACACGGTCGCGAAAAATGTTAGATTTAGAGCTTAATAAATATATAAACTCATAAAAATTACCAAGCCATAAATTTATATATTAACATTATAATCTATCAAGTCATAGTATCATAAACGGTCAAAGTTCACATTTTCTCCCAATTAAATTTAACGATCTTATTCCGGTAGCCTAATAAATTGTATGTCTCTCCTCACATTCAACACGGTCTAAATTATGATTGCTTTCGCCGTGTCTTGCATAAAATCAAATCCTAAAAAATAATATATAAACCACGTCAGAAACATATAGACTCGTACGTCTCAGTGGTACACGGCTGTGGTGACGTTGATCGGCGCTAGCTGTGGCGACCGACTGGCCGTGCATGTGCATGCATGATGCATGCAATCTGTAACAAATCAAGAAACAAAACACAGATGCATCTACGTTGTGCAACGTTGATGAGTAGAGACAGGGTTAGAGCCGCGCTTGCTTGGCATCCAAGGCTTCACGTGGAATCCTATAGTGCCCCGGCACTTACTGCATCTGCCCTGACGTCTCCTTCCGTGCTTCACGAAGGTGCCTGCTCCAGTCTCTCCCATTGGCTGGCGAGAGCATCACTTGGACATCGTGTGCGTACGACACATGCGGCACTCCAGGGTCGTCGGTGGCGTCGATCTACGTCGCCGATGGGACTTTCTGGCGTTGAAGGATGAAGAAGTACTCCTTCATGACGAACGTGTCCGTGCGGCCCGACACGTACGTACGTGTCACGATCGGCGACATCTCCTTCCATGTTGGTGCCGATGGACGTGGCAGCGTGGCGCATCCGGTGTCTCCTCGACATGGTAGGGCATCCCATGGACGGGTCTCCGATCCTTCTCGCTGCTGTTGCAGCCACATCGCCGTAGCTGCCGCCTGGAGTCGTCTCCCGATCCATCTGCGTGGCCATCCACCGTGTAGTAGCCGACTTGCACGCGTCTGTGGCGATCGGTGCTACTGCCGGCGGCGTGGCTCTTAACGACGGTGTATTATCCCAGCACATGCAAAGAAGGGAAACCGCGCGTCCTTGGCCAGATGCATGGTGCCTGATGTTGCCTGCGGCCGCCTCTCCTTCCGTGCGTCTCTGGCGGCTGCCTGGATGTACATGTACGTCCTCCCGTCAGACGCCGCCAATAACCTGTTGCTAGCGTCGCGAGGTCTACGGGAGGGATCGGAGGCAGCACTTTCCTAGCAGGACTCTCATCCTCGCGGGACGTTGCTTAGGCGTACGTGAGGACGTAACAGAGAGGGAGTTGAGAGGTTGAGGTGCCGTGGGGGTAACGTAAGATCTTGAGGATGGAAGACACGGCGTCTAGATCGAACGGTTATTAACGAGAGAGAGTAAGATCTCGGACGATGGAAGGCTCATATGAAACGATGTCAAGATCAAACGGTTATGAAATAGTGATAGCCCCCAACAAATTATTCGTTCTTTTACAGTGTGATGATCAGCTCAATCATTGTTGTATTGATTGTCTATGCACCACATCAAGTTACTCCACCGCATCAGCTGAGTTTGTCAACATCGACGAGGCTCTGATAGACCTGAGTAACGGCGCAGCTATTGCTTACAGCACCGGTCCAACTCAAGGGCACAGTAACGCGCAGCTATCGCTTACGGCACCGGTCCAACTCAATGGTACAATTTTTCTAACCATTCTGTTATGCTTCATTCTCTTGGTTCCAATACCACCTTTTTTTATGTTCCTCTAATGATTATAGCTTAATTTATTTAATTAGTATTGGAATCGTGACTACGCTACGTCTGTCATGATTTATATTTAGAGTATTATTATCTTGTAAATGGCTAATGTTCCAACACACGGCATGACAGTGTGCAAAGTTAGTAGGTGTAGAACTTCCCAGTCTCTCTCTTCTCCGGTTTCCCGCCTAATCCTGTGGACACTGCCTTAGCATTGTGAACATTTACAGGGTTGCATCGTTCGATCTAAGTTGGGCCTCCTGTATCGTGGCCTACTGATTTCCTCTTCCATCATAGGCCAAACAGGAGGAAACACCTCACTCTTCACAGTTGCGATCGAGCACGCTTAGTGGCAGTTTTCGCAATGTTCCATGCTAGACAACAAAACAGGTCGTTTTCTTCTGCTATTCTTCCCTCGTGGAAGCGCTCGATGGTCCTGAAGGAAACTCCTTCCGAATTTGTTGCGAAGGATCAATTTCGTGTATACCCCATAATTTTGTACAGAGACCTATATCCCGCGATTCAAGTATGCAGTCGTCGTTTTCAAATGTACGTACCTGCTGATCAAGCAAGCAACTTACGTACCCCACAAGACATTAGACAACGACGTGGAGTATGTGTATTGGCCGGCTCATATTATTTTGTCTATCCACATGACGTAGTATACTACTGTTTACGAAGGAATTTTACTGTTTATGGATGGTTTGTCTCACAAATTTCTTTAAATTCATCCAGATTCTTTTAAATTCCTCCAATCGAATGGGGCCATGATGTCAGGCTCTCAGCAGTTCGAATCAGTGATCCTCAGCATAAAGACAGGGCCAATTCCATTTCCCAAAAACGACTCGCATCACATGACCATGACGATGCCTACCATGAACCCCTCCTCCCATTGTCTCGCGACGGGGTGCGCAAGTACACTGAACCCGGGTCGCTTTCGTTATCCACAGCAAGCGGGGCCGTCCACGCCGGCGATCGATCCAAATCAAGCATGGGCAGCGAATGGCCGACGCGTCCAATGCCATGCATAGTCACAGCACACTCGCGCTCTCGAAACGAAGAACCTAACCTCCAACGGTGGATCGGAAAAGGTGTCCAATCGAGAAACCCGGCCGTCGTCCGATGTGAATCGAGCAGCAACCGACCCACCCCGCGTGCACGACGCGTCCCGACTGACTCCCGAGTGGTCCTGGCCCACACGAGGTGGGAGTGGGACACGGGCACACGGGACGGCGAGAGGTCGGTCTACCCGGCAGGCCGGTCTACGTCACGGCGGCGACCGATCGGCCAAAGCTCGCTCGGGCCCGGGAAAGGGACATCCAAGGAATTCAGGGGCGTGGGATGGTGGACGGCAGCGTAGAGCATAGCATGGGTGTGGTGGGGGTGTGTGTGGGTGGGGGGTGTTGGCGTTGCGTTGGATAGTGGGTGGCAACGAGACAAACATGTCATGGCGGTGGCGTGCTGGTGGAGGGGCGGTTCCCGCCGGCCTTCAGCTAATCAGCTAGTCCCGGGTGCACGTTGACGAATAATGGTGCCGGCGTGCGCACGAAATTCTGTCGTCCATGCCTCCATGGAGGCGGGCAGGCACTGCGCGTGCACGTTGACGAACGGGCATTGAAGACTGAAGTAGACTCGATCCGTGCAAGCTGCAAAGCGCTGTGCCTGAACAGTGGTGGTGGAGACGCCGGACGGGACGGAGCATCTTCCAAACCGGGGCAGAGCGCTGTCGAAGCAGCAGCCAGCAGCAAAGCTCGTGGCGCTTTGTCCCACTCGCCCAGCAGCAGCAGCAGCTTTCACCGGAGCCGCTGGTGGAGAGCAGAGCCGTGGGAACTCGGTTTGCTGCTGCGCCGATAAATGCGCGACGTCGATCGCGGGCACGGCTGCTTCTGGACGGACGGGAACGGATTCGCGGTACAAAAAGAAAAGGATATTTAAGGTGGTCGACGACGCCGGGCAGGCGGCGGCGTCCACGTCGGGCCCGCCGCTTTCGGGGACAAACAAATGGCGGGTCAAGCAAGTTAGGCGGCGTCGCACGGCACGGCACGGCTCGGACCGGCGCCCAGTCCACGCCGGGTGGACGGAACCGGGCCGCCCAGCGCCGCGTGACTCATGGCAGCGTCCAGAATACACCGACCGCGCGCGGGGCGTCCACACACGTGCCCTCCCCCGGCCGCCGATCCCGATTCCCATCCTCTGGCGCGCGGCCGCACCGCAGGGCGGGGCGAGAGCTCCGGACGCGCCGGCATGTCGCGACCCCGACGCATGCGCGCGCGCTCTCGCGGAACCGCCTTGGACGTGCGGCTGGAGGAGTGTCCATGGGCTCTCCGTACGAGCGGACACGCAGGGGCAATGCCCCGGCCCCATCCGGATTGTGGGGGGTTCACCACAGGATGTCAGGTGGACACCGGACACGGACACTGCACTGAATGATGTGCCACTCTATCAAACCAATCTTATCCTGCAATAGCAGCAGTCCAGCAGCAGCCAATGTTGGGGGCAGCAACCAACAGTGCCATTCCGGCATGATTTTACAGTGCCATTCCGGCATGATTTGGAGCAGCATTTCTTATTTTTATTACACAGCCAATGATGCACATACGAACACCTCGCTGCCTACTGCTACCCACATTCTGATACTACAGGCAGTATATATATATATGTACACACACACACACACACACACACATCTAGCATTGGAGAGTACTACTGCTATATCGTATATTACAATGTACAAGGCTGCAAAACTTAGTCGCGGTTACGAAGGCTGTAAGTAGCAGCTATCTATCTTACTGGTACCACTGCTAGCAACTAGCAACTGTAACTTCAAGGTAACAAAACCTGAAAAGAAGCAAACTATAGCAGCACCACTAGGTGTGTTCTTCTTACCGCTCCCTCCCTTCCTTCGCTGACATTTGCGCCGCCGGCTGTTATTCCCTTCTCTTCTGGGCTATGTCATGTAGCAGTACTATACAGTACAGAGTTGCATTGCCTAGGCGCTGACAGAGAGTCCTAGTACTCGACGATGAGGCTGCCGAAGGGCGACCGGTGCGGCACGCCCTTCCGGCGCTTGTTCCCTGGGCGGCGGTGGCTGGCAGAGGTCGGCGGCGGGGTCGACGGCCAGAAGCTCTGCACGACGCTGCTGGCGCCGCTGGTGCTGGTGCACGAATCCTCCGAGTCAGAGCGCACGTCCTTGACCTTAAGCGCCGCCCTCTTCTTCTTGTCACCGCCGCCGCCGCCGCCCGCCACCGCCACCGCCACCGTGCTTCTTCTTGGGACGGTAGCCACGGGCCGTGCCCACTATCTGCGAGGTACAAAGAAAAAGCGACGACGACAACGACGCGTTAGGTGGCGTCTAGAAACACGCAATGCTACAGAGTTTGTGCACACGCAGCTCGATCGTAGTACCTTGCACCCGAGGGAGCAGAAGCGGAAGCAGTCGAGGAGGCTGCGCTCGCAGACCTCGCAGGTGTTGGTGACGCCCTTGCCCGGGCGTGGCTGCGGCCGCTCGTTGAGGAACACCACGCGCGCGCTGTTGATGATGTACGTCTGCACGCCGGCGATGTCCAGCACCTTCTGTATCTCCGACACCCGGATCACGTCGTGGTACGACGACCTCCGTATCTGAATGATACAAACCAACCCATCCGTGACGGGGAGCGCGTGCCCGTGAGTCAGTCAGTTCACTCGGTTGCCAAGAAAAGAACAAAACACGAACACCCAAAGAGATCGATGGAACAGGGAAGGGAGGGGAATGTGCAGCAGGAGGCATTGGGGGAGGGGAACGCAGCCGCCTGCACTGCATCCGTGCAGTGGTAGCTCTACTGACCTGGATGGAGTGGTGGTCGCGGTGGTGCGCGAGGCAGAGGGAGCAGAGCGCGCCGTTCATGCAATCGAGGCAGTACATGTTGCACTCGCTCTTGTGCGCGTCCGCGTGGATCCTGCATTGGACGAAGAAGCTCGTGGACAGCAGCGGCTTCAGCCACGGCGGCCACCGCTGGTTCTCGGCGGCGTCGTCGCACTCACCGCCTCCGCTTCCCTGCAACCGCAGACCGTGCACACACATTCAGTCCAAAAACATCGCCACCGAAATCAATCAAGAACCAAGAAACAGAGCGACACAAGAACAAGAGGAATCAATCAATTACCATGGCGCCTCTGCTCTTGAGTCCGAGAGGCGTCGCGTGATCTATTGCCATCTCGTCGCCGCGGAACCGAGGAGAATGCGTGCGAGTGGAAGGGAGAGGGGAGAGGAGAAGCCTTCGCGGGGAAAGGAGTCTGCCGGGGCAGCGGGCGGCTGCGAGTGTCAAGTCTTTGTAGACGGGGGAAAAAGACGAAAGGTTTTGGAACACAGGCAGCTAGTGAACTACTCCTAAAATAATAGACGAGGAGGGGAGGTGCTTGATGCTGGCGCTTGATAGAGAGCTCTGGTTCGTTCTTATCGCCTCGGTGCGCATCCGGCCTGTCGCTGAAGGCCTGAGAACCCGATAAGCGTGCTACAGTACATGTGTAACATGTGAAAAATTGAATAGGAGTATGATGGGACTTAGAAAACCTGCTCGTTCATATTCAGCCTGTTCGTTGGCCGTGGCTGGCTTGTCTGGTATTGCCTTGTCTTTGTCATGTAGTAAGCCTTCTACACGTCATCAGTTGATTTTTTGAATTTCAACTGGGATGTATCATGTGATCATCATCGGCAGCAGTTTCATTTCTTATATCGGATCGTACAGTAATCCGGGTTAGTGATCCAAATCCAATATAGCCACGAAAGAATATCCTCCTTTTCTAGTCTAGAGAAAATATCCTACCTTTCTTATACTCGCACACTCTCCACTTTGTTGTTTATTCGCCTCACAATCTGTTTAGTTTAGTTTATTCGTAGTGGTCTGTGTTGAATAGGAAGGTACGTGAACTCTCCATCACACGCCGCACCAATTTTCGTCTGGGAGACTCCACGCATATGTTTTGGCTCCCCGCAAAAACAGCGAGACACACAGTAACCCCCCACGTTTTCTTCTCAGGAAAAAGTGAAAAAAAAGGCAACAGAAAAGTTGAGAAAAGGTGCCACTAACACGGCATTACCGCGGTAATGTGTGTCACCTTTGGCACCCATTAGCATTAGCCTCCCCGGTGGATCAAAAATGGGATCAGATGCGTCCTTAGCCGTGCATCCACACACACTACCATAAACCACCGCGCCTTTTGGACGAGAAGATGCCACACGTTCTGCAGGCAGCAGGCCAGGGCCCCTTTTCGGTAGTGGCCGAGCTCGTTTTCCTGGCCGTTCGGCCTTTGTCCCGACGACCTTTGTCCTGCCGTCCTGTGAATGCGAGTGTGACGAGCCTTCGCTTCATCGGTCGGCCTCGGCGATTCCGTTTTCCCGCTGTTCTGCAGCTGCGCCTAACCTGATCCGATCCGCTGGTACCTGAACTGGTGGCGGCTGACGAATCAATGTAAGACAACTGGACATGAAAAGTCGTCAGAGTGCCGTATAGGTTTTTTAGTCCTGCAGCGGTTATACGTCGCATCGTCGCCGTGGATGTATGTAACCAGCCGTAAGTCGCTTCTTGGTCCTGGGCGACAGCGACCACAGTTTTACACTGAAATTTGGCTCAAACCGGCTGAAAAATACTGTTCCAGCTGAATTATTATAAGAGAAAAACACTATTACGGCTAAAAAAAGAAGCTGAATAAACCGAATATGGAATAAACCGAACAAGGCCTTACTGCATTCACTGGCCCGTGAGCGGACAGGATTAGTAGAACACAGAGCATGCTGATACAACTAGCGGGTCCCGCCGGTTGCTGAAGCGAGCAAAGCAAACGTTGCCATGAAGCTGCTGGTGTCGCTCGCCCTGTACAGTGGTGCAACTGAGTGTGACGCGTTGTAAATGTATATTTGAGAAGATGGCCGCCGGCGTCGTTGCTTGCAGAATCACGGCACCTGCGGGCGGCGATGTGCCTTAACATCGAATCAAGAAATCGCGCCGAGTCAGGCCCGAGGTTCCGATGATCTGGGTCCAGGTTTTGACAAAAACGGTGCACACGAACTGTTGGCGATCTAATCTCTGGTTGTTGAATATGCGATCCAATTTTCTGAAACTCTGCATGTCGTGTAGCTAGCTAGTGGGCAGAATAGTGCTGTGCGGCAGTGCGGGATCAGAGCGGCCGTCCACTGCCGCTATCTGATTCCAGTGGGGTGCCGCATTGGCATCTCCGCTTCTAGGGGCACCTCAAAAGAAAAAGAAAAAAAAAAGCGTAGGTAGCTGCGTGCTGCGCTCGCATCGCCGTGCCGTGCCGTGCGTCTGCTAGCCGAGGACACCTGTGGTTGCACTCGCAGTCGCAGTTCCTTGTTCCTCCGGCGCTAAGTCATTCCGCAATCATAGAGACGAGAATGGTGCGGCATCTCATCTACGTACTAATGTACTATGCTGCATCTACTCACCCTTTCTCACCCCGTGGGCTTTCAGGGCTCTTCTGAGTTTCAGAAACATGATGATGACGCCCCAGTTTACGTTATCATGTTGGGACAACGCCATTGAGAAGCCGTTGAGATGGATGCAACATTTCCGATTCTGGGCAGAGTCACCTGAATCTCTATCAAACATTAAAAATTCAGAAACATTTCATCCTGAATCATCTAGAAACATTTTTTCCCTTTTAATAACACTAGGAAGAAGAATCATTTAAAAACGGTGTTTCACACTGATTCTATTTCGTTTCACAAACAAATAATGTAGCCAAACGAATTGGTCATGTGGTTTTGTTTCAACAGAAAAACTGTTCTAAGAGGAACCTAGACACGAAACATGCATTTTTCGTGAGAATCTTGATCTCTATTAAACGGCCTACATACGTCTCCTTGGCTATTTGGTTCACGAAATCAGAATGCTGCCCCTAGATCATCTCTAAAAATATACTCTACAGCAACAGCCGTAGATTTCTGTAGGCGTTGCGTGCGGCTGCTTTCCGTGGCGGCTGCCGCGCAACGCGGAACCGGTCGCGCACGGGCGACAAAAGATCGCGGAGTTGTTTAAGCAGCTCAGACTGTTGGAGTACTAGCTATTTAACTAGCGCTATGCGAATGCGAATTCAATCCTACTGCCTGTCACATTGCGCGGAACGTGATTGCGATAGCATAGCCTTCCCAAAGAATTCAGAGATCGAGCCTGAAGCAATTCTTTACTGCCGCTGGCGGGCGGCGGCTGTGGATGGCTGAGACTGACGCGAAGATAAGCAAGCAGAGAGCAGCCAAGGTGACGCCACGCATGAGAGCATGATTGATCGGGGAGGAAATGTCTATTCTGATAATGGGTTCGGTCGTAGCCTGCCACGTTTTTTTTTACAACAACAACTTTTAATATATAAGGTTAACGCTCGTTACACCAGTGGAAAAAGAATTCTCAGATTACAAGCACGTATAAAAGAAATCTACTGCTAAACGGCTTCTGAAGGCATGAGTGATGCTTCCGTCAGGGACGTGAGGCCCGTGGGGACCATAGGGCCCACGAGAAGTGGCCACGATAGAAGCATCGAGAGTCCTCGTTCTCGCACTCCGATAGCACAGTCGACGCTTCCCTCGATTGTCTGATCGGCCTGTGTCCTCGAGGATAATTAGTCTTGAACCGTAGATAAAATAGAGGCTTCACCGGGTTCAATAGAATGGGTTCCACAGCCATTAGTATCAAATCTAAGGACCAGCATCAACTGTCGTTGGCGATCAACCCGAACACTGATCGCTGCTTTACCACTTCCATATCTGCAGAAAAGCAAAAGCAGATTGACAGAAATGAAAGACTTGTCGTGCGTGTTGAACACACTCGGCGTCGGAACCATGACCTTGCTCTGCATACTTGACACGGCATTCAAATTGGAACATGGCACATGTCACCGTGGGAGGTCGGAGGAGTACAACACTCGCTCCTGTATGTAGAACACGTTGCCTTGGCAGGCCCCAAAGCACAGGTCGTGGGCCCGTGCATGATGCACAGGTTCACGCGACAGCATCTCGTGGACCACTTGAAGGAAGAGGCTCACGATTGGCCACGTAGACAGGCCGCACACCACATCCGAAGTGCAACCGTCCTCTCCCATCCGCATCTGAGCCCAGCCGCCTCTAGGAGCGCCTCGCATGGTGGCAACGGGCTGCCACCGAGCATGTCGTCGTCATCGGGGAACAGGGCCAAGGAACCGGCACCCTGTTGCACCCGCACTGGCCCAACTGCGTAGGAGGAAGGAAGCCCGGTGGCTTCCCTTTGGTCCGCCCTAGTTGGGCGCTCGGACGGCGGCGAGCAGCGCATCGACGACTTCACAGGGGAAGAGCACTGCCCCGGTGCCGTAGTTGTCATGGTGGTCTGCAAGGCCACCTGGTTTGCCCTGGGTCCGGTGGAGGCCCCGCTGGCCTCCATCGAGGCGCCATCGGCCTTGTTCGCTCGGAGGAATTTGGAGAAATCTGGATGGTTTTGATGAATCTGGAGGAATTTGTGGGAGAAAACATTGTTCCCGGATGAAAAAAAACCCGGATCAAACCGGGTCTCCTCCAAATCTTCGGTTGGCGAGGCGGAGGATTCCTGTGTACGCCTCCGTCATGACGAGCAGCAGCGCCCACTCGGGTGGCGCGCCGTCGGCAAGGTCGTGTTTGTCCTCCTCGCTCTTTCTTGGTGCCGCCCCGACCTCCCTGCGCCGTCGTTGCACCTAGCCACTAGCACAGCCTGGACGCCATAGATCCAAATGGAAATCCAGCAGTCCAGGTTGCGCAGCAGGCTCGGACGCGAGGACGACGAGGACGGCTGCTCCGCCATGTCTACGCGTGGCGGGTCAAGGTCGCCGGTGTCGCTGTCCACACCTCCACCTTAACTCGATCTGGATGAGAGCGGCGCCATGCCGCCCAGACTACCAGGGAGCGAGGAAGGAGGAAGCATGGGAGAGTAGTAGGGCGTTATTGAAGTACTCACCGTGTCAATTTGGAGGAGACCCTCGCCGGCCACCATGGCTGCGAGCAGTCCGCCCACCTCCAACGCGACGGAGACGAGGAGGATAGATGTCCTCAAAACTCCCATGAAGGGGATTATTCCACTGGGGAGTATTACAAGGAGATGTGGAGGGGAAGGAGAAGAGGAAGGAGAACCGGCCCTCCTGCCGTGTTGCCAGCGAGCTCGCCGGGGAGAAGGCAGGGGGCCGGCGACGGGTCTCTCACTAG